TTCTGAAGCTACCAGCGTTATGAGCATGAACCTTGAGCTTCTTGGCCGAATGTGGAGGGAAGTAGAGAAGATAGTTTGTGAGGGAGAAGAGGCATGCGGCTATGTGTTTAGGTTTTAGTCTAGGTTTAGTTGAAAAGTAGGTTTTATATTAAAGTTTTTGGGTAATTTAATTTTTAGTCATTGAAATAAATGGTAAATTAGGTTCTAGGCCCCTTAACTAGTTGTTTCGTTACTTTAATCATTGTTTCCCTCCTTTTTAAACCATATAAATCAATTTTTTTTGTGAGTGCTATGCGTACATGTATATATGACCCACTTTGTTTTATATTATGCTTTATTATAATATATGAAGAAATGTATGGCACATGTAATTTCAATATGTTTACACTTTCTAAAAAATGCTTAATTCATAAAGTTTGTGTTTTCATGTTTACAAAATATATTTTTTTATCAATTTGATTATGACATAATTTTGTTTCCCTTATTATAATTTATTATATCTTTAATTTAAGCATCAACTTGTTTGACTTTTGGGTCTAATTTGTTTGACATGATATGTTTGTCTCATTTGTTTGTTAATTTTGTAGCTTATATATATATATATATATAAAAGTTGATAATTTTCAATTAATTCGTTGTATATAATATATATATATATATATATAAGTTGATAATTTTCAATTAATTCGTTGCATATGGTTAATGTGTTATATATATATATATTATGTATAACTGCATCTTATAATTTACATTTATTATTTCTCACTTTAAATACAAAGTTATACATGTTACATGTGTACGTTATGATAGTTTATTAAATATTGTAATATGCTCGGTATTTTATTATTTTTATTTTTACTTTATTTTTATATATTAAAGGTATATATATATATATATATATATATATATATATATATATATATATATATATATAACATGGTAATAGTGACTTTGAATTTTTATATTTTCTTGATTTAACCATTAAATTTATTATATGTGTTAAGGTTATATTATTTTATACAATAAAACATGAAATATCTCCTTAACTAACTAGGAAGGTATTTTAAATGATTATTGGTATAAAATAATACCTTTGATGTTGTTTTATGGGGTCAAAAATCAAATTAAATTTGAATTTATAAATTTCATTGCAAAGACATTAATTAATCGACTACGTACCGATTTAGGGTGCTGTGGGGTTGCTAATCCTTCCCCACACGTAACCGACTCCCGAACTCATTTTCTGGTAACGTATACTTCAATTTATCGTTTTAATTAAAATTAATTTTTATTTAAAATAACAAAAATGTTTTTGGGTGTCTAATTACATCCTAATCAAAGATTGGTGGCGACTCATCGAACCGTACCTTTTATTATAAAAAGGAATCCTAAATTTTTCGAAACGAGAAAGGGTTTTTAAAATCACATTGTTTTTATTTAAAAATCAATCAAAGAAATCAATAACTAAAAATGACGTGGTTTTTAAAATCTCGCTTGCCCCTCATTTAAAAATCGTTTCGACAATGGTTAAGGGTGAGTATCGATACTATAAGAAACAATATCGATATTGTTCATGTTTCAGGCATAAAAATCGAGAGTTTTTAAAAAAACCCCAAAAATTTCAACAAGTGACCAAAATGTAAATTTTGAAAGTTTGGTGGCTAAAGTATAAAATTAGAAAATGTCATAGACTTAAAGAATAATTTTGAAAAAAAGTTATATATTTTGGTCCTATAAATGGATAGTTTAACTTAAAAGAAGGATTTTCTTGTTTATCAGATTTTTGATCCGAAGTTTGTAGAAAAAAATTAAAGTTGGGTAAAATGATCGGATATTCGAATCAATCAAAACTTTAAAAAAATTAAAGGATGGTAGTATGAGGTTAGAAATACTGTTTTCTTATTATTTTAATGTGAAGAATTCAAAGTGGATCAGTTAGATTAAAATAATTTACCCTATTTTAGTGAAACATTGGAATTTAGGGACTAAATTGAAATTTTAGAAAATTGGAAGGGCAAACTTAGAAAGACAAGCTTTGGATATTTTATTTATTTTATTTTACTTTATTGTCTCACTAAGTGTATCCTTAGTGTGTGTGAGTGATTCACACGCAGATACAAGAGAAAAAGTGAAAAGTAAGGCACACATCAGTATCACTCTGAGGATTTTGGTCCATCACCAGAAATAAATAAATAAGGACATCTTATTTGACATTTTTAATAAGTAGTGGCATGTATATAAGGACATTTTAACTATTTAGACTTGAATTTGTATAAATTGTTGATATTACAAATAAATAGATTTTAGTTATTTTTTTAAAAAAATTGATAATTTAAAAGTAGTAGTTTTATTATAGGGTAAACTACACAGGAGACCACCAAACTATGGTCATTAATCAATCTTGCCATCGAACTATTTTTTGTCTAAATTTGACCACCAAACTTTTTAATTGATTCAATCAGACCACCGCACCGTTAATTTTAACTGACTTGGTGACATGTCCGTCAATAAAATTTGCATAATTATATATTTGGTCCTTAATATTTACATATTTTATCAATTTAGTCACTATTTTAATTCAATTAAATAAATTTAACTATTCAATTAGAACATGACACGTGTCAATACATGATTGAAAGATTTTATTTATGAATTTTAAATTATTTAATTAATTGATTTCTAACCAATCAGGTGGTGACACGTGTCACCACCCCGATTGAAATGGAAAATTGAAGAACAAATTTCGATTTGACTTGTAAAACTGTTGGGCCAAAGCTCCCCAATGGTTCTAACTTACAACAATTTCTATTTAACTTGTAAAAGTTTGTTAATGATACAAAAAATTAAACAAATTATTTGTTTAAATAAATTATTTTTTCTTTAACTGTTAATCGAACCAAAATTTATTTGAAAATTATTAATCGAACAAATTAACCGTTAATCGGTTAATAATTTTAAAATAAATTTTGGTTCGATTAACGGTCAAATAATTTCGGTTCGATTAATGTTAAAGAAAAAAATTCGGTTAATTTGGTTCGGTTAATAATTTTCAAATAAATTTCGGTTTGATTAACGGTCAAATAATTTCGGTTCGATTAATGGTTAAAGAAAAAAAATTCAGTTAATTCGATTCGGTTAATAATTTTTAAATAAATTTCGGTTCGATTAACGGTTAAGGAAAAAATAATTTAATTTATTCGTTTAATAATTTTTAAATAAATTTTGATTCGATTAACGGTCAAATAATTTCGGTTTGATTAATGATTAAAGAACAAAAATCGGTTGATTTGGTTCGATTAATAATTTTCAAATAAATTTTGGTTCGATTAACGATTAAAGAAAAATAATTTATATTATTCAGTTAATTCAGTTAATAATTTTCAAATAAATTTGGGTTCGATTAACGGTCAAATAATTTTGATTCGATTAATGGTTAAAGAAAAAAAATTCGATTAATAATTTTCAAATAAATTTCGGTTCAATTAACGGTCAGATAATTTCGGTTCGATTAATGTTAAGAAAAAAATTCGGTTAAATTTTGGATCGATTAACGGTCAAATAATTTCGATTCGGTTAATACTTTTCAAATAAATTTGGTTAATTTGGTTTATTTGAAAATTATTAACCGATTAACGAATAATTTGGTTCAGTTAATAATTTTCAAATAAATTTCGGTTCAATTAACGGTTAAAGAAAAATAATTTATTTTATTCAGTTAATTCGGTTAATAATTTTCAAATAAATTTGGATTCAATTAACGGCCAAATAATTTTGGTTCGATTAATGGTTAAAGAAAAAAATTCGGTTAATAATTTTCAAATAAATTTTGGTTCGATTAACGGTCAAATAATTTCGGTTCGATTAATGTTAAAGAAAAAAATCGGTTAACTTAGTTAGATTAATAATTTTTAAATAAATTTCAGTTTGATTAACAGTCACATAATTTTGGTTTGGTTAATAATTTTCAAATAAATTTGGTTAATTTGGTTTATTTTAAAATTATTAACCAATTAACGATTAATTTAGTTCGGTTAATAATTTTTAAATAATTTCGATTCAATTAACGGTTAAAGAGAAAATAATTTATTTAAACAAATAATTTGTTTAATTTTTTATCATTAACAAACTTTTACAAGTAAAATAAAAGTTGTTGTAAGTTAGAACCATTAGGGAGCTTTAGCCCAACGATTTGGGTGCTTGGTTACTCTCCCCCACAGGCAAAACCTCGCACATATTTGTTCTTTAATTTTCTATTTCAATCCGGATGGTGACACGTGTCACCACCTAATTGGTAAAAAAAATCAATTAATTAAATAATTTAAAATTGATAAATAATATCTTCCAATTATGTATTGACACATGTCATGTTTTAGTTAAATAATTAATTTTTTTTAAATAAATTAAAATAGTGACTAAAATGATAAAATATATAAATATTAAAAATCAAATATATAATTATACCAATTTTATTAACGAACACATCACCAAGTCTATTAAAATTAACGATGCGATGGTCTGAGTAATTCAATTAAAAAATTCATGGTAGAATTGAAACAAAAAATAATTTGATAAAAAAATTAATTAATAATCATAGTTTGATGGTCTCCCGTGTAATTTACCCTTTATTATATTGCATTTATATATGCACAAAATGGATTTTCAAATAAATGTTATTATTATAAATTAAAAAAATAAATTTTCTCACATTTTCAAATGGTAAAAGTTTTTGTATAAATGATGTGATACTTTTGACGTGTACGGGTACTAATACAGGATGTAGATGCTCGTTTTGCCGGGACTCTCTTTCAAATTTTATTCCATTTTTATATATATTAGTTATTAGTTATTATTACCAAGTTGTGCATGTGATTATCTATTTATCTATTTATATTATCATGTGTGTGTTTAATTATGTACTGTGTTTAATTATCTATGTAGTTATGTTTGTGATCATATATATATATATGTTATGATAATTTAATTCACTAAATGAAGGTTTTATGTTTACAGGCCCGAAAAAGAAAAAAAAATGATAACAATTACAACATGCTTGGAACAGATGAATCCCGGAATTCGGCAAACCCGTTGACAAATCTGCACCCAACAGCAAAACTGAAGCAAAATCGGCAAAATCAAACCAAAGTCAAGAAAATACCTAACCCCGAAGATTAGGGGATGTTTTCACCTAAACCTGTCATTATACTACCAAACACAAGAAATTAACATGCAAGATGACAAGGAGATTCGGTGAAGAAGAAGAAATAAATCGGAGGCAGAAAAGAGATCAGAAAAAAGGCGGGAATTTTCAACGAACGGGGGATTTCGGTCATGAAAAAACATAGCACATAGAGAGGGCAGACCACAACCAGAAAGCAACCAAAAAATTCACCAAGGGGAGGATTCGAACGGGGGATTCGTTGTAAGAAAGAAAAAAACAGTGTAAAAGGGATTCGGCCCTCTTTTCCGAAAAGAATAGAAGCAAGTTTTGTTTTAATTTACTCTCCCAATCGAAAATCAATTTTCACAAAAAGGGCAGTAGCATCCTCTTAAGCAAAAACAACCAAAAACAGAATACATTAAAGTGGAGGTATTTCATCTTATTTTGTTTATTTTTTAGTAACTATTTGTGTCTGTGGTATTTTGTTTTGGACGAGGATTAGGGTTAGAGGCTCACCGAGATCCTGTTTGAACCACTGTGGCTTGAGACCGAAGCGTGGAGATTTGTTCGAAAGACCTTGCATAATAGTATTAGGGTTCTTTTTTATTTTAAAGTTTTGAAATAAAAATAAATGAAGAGAATGAGACGGTTAGAGGTACCTTTTTATGTGGTTTCGTCGCTGGCGTTAGAGAATCTTAGAGCCATCTTCGGGGAAGAGAGAAGGCAGCGAGTCACAAGAGTAAAGAACCTGGTTCGTGGAGGCCCTAACACCGAAGAGAGCCTTCGTCCTTCGTGTGTTTGGTCTTCATCAGAGAACCCAAACTGATGCCTTGGTGGTTGGTGGCCATGGTCTCCATCTTCTCTTCAAAGAAAGAAACAGCTGAGGAGCAGTGGGGTTAGAGCCTATGGGATCTCGACCGACAGTGTTGTGGCCTTTGGAGATTGGTGGTCGTGAGAAAATAGAAGAGGGGTCGAAAATGAGCGGCGTGAGGGGGTCTCGAGGGTCTCGGTTGAAAGTGTGAGTGGGTGTCGGTTTGGAGTGTTGAGGCCAGCGAAGATTGGTGGCTGGGGTTTCTTGGGACTGATCAGCGCCGCATGGAAGATGTAGAAGATAGGGGAAAGCGGTAGACTAGAGAGAACGGCGCTGGGGAGATGTTAGGTTTAGCAAATGAGTTAGGGTTTTCATTTTACCCAATATATTATATAAATTATTTCACTAAAACGACCGCGTTTCAGTAGGTTAAGTCAATCCGTGTTTTAAGAGTCGGGTAATTTCGTTTGAAATCCATCAGTGTTTGAAATGATACGTTTTAGTCCTCAAATCGAGTCTTTTAAATTTTTTAATTCAGTCTTTATGCTTTATGCGCATTTAATTTTCGTTCTAAAATGTTTATTTATTTAATTTATGTTGTTTAGATATTAGACTTTTAGGTTTTTGCGTATTACATTTTGGTTGTGGGTATGTTTGGGTTTATTATATTTTTAGTCCCTTTTATTAATCATATTTTTATTTTAGTTTTAGTAATTGAAATGGTGTAATGTTTGTTTTTCACTTCAATTGATATTATTTTGTAGTTAAGATGGTAATTTTCTATTCTTTATCATTTAGTACCTAGTTTAAATAGTTTACTTAGTTTCTTAACTTTGTATTTTTAAGTGTTATGTTTCCTTTTATTTATTTTAGTCATATTGGTGTATTACATATTAATATATATATATATATAGGGTATAATGTGTGGTAATAAAATATGTATATAATTGTTGGAATTAAAATAACATTGCATGATATTTTAATCATAATAATTGTTTAATTAATTTTTGCATATATCCTCATGTGCATAATTTGATATTATATAATAATTGGATTAAGGGTAATACCTTTGTAATTTAAAATTATTTTAAGTGGGTTGTCTAAACTTATTAGATATTCGTTTTTGACGATTTTAAATTAGAAGTGTATCCCATTAGTGACACCTAAAAATTGATTCACTTTAAAATTTGGGAATGGAAGAAAAAGAAATATTCGGCTATTTAAATTTGTCGAGAAAATGTTATTATAACTCATTTAAGACTTTCGGTATTTATAAATATTCGAATATTCTTTATCTTTCTAAAGGCTGGGTAATTTTAATTTAATTTATTTTGGTGCTTTGAATATTGTAAAATTCATGTTGTTGTTTTGTTGGGAATCATAAATCAAATTAAAATCGAACTTGTAAATTTCATCGCATAGACGTTAATTAATCGACTAGGTACCGATTTAGAGTGTTGTGGGATGTTAATCTTTTCCCACGCGTAATCGATTCCCGAACTCATTTTCTAGTAACGCAGAACATCATTTTTTGTTTTAATTAAAATTAATTTTTTATTTAAAATAGCAAAAATGTTTTATGGTGTCCAATAACACCTTAATCAAATATTGGTAGTGTCTTTTCGAACCGTACATTTTTATCATAAAGGAAATCCTAATGTTTTTAAAAATCACATTTACTTTTTAATTAAAAAAAATCATGAATAGAATAATTAAAAATAGGTGTGGTTTTCAAAATCTCACTCGCCTCTTAGAGAAAAAAATCGTTTCGACAGTTTGGCAACTTCACCGGGGAACTTTTTTTTAGAGAGTCGGGCCTATAGTCGATTAATTGATTGTATTTACAATCGAAAGTTATAAATTCGTTCTAATTTCGTTTTTGATCCCCTATTTGGTTTTAATATTGTTTGTTAACCAATAAATAGTTGTACTGAACTGTTTGCTAATGGTTTCTGATTAATTATGTCTAAAGAGGATTTTTTTGAGTGTTTTGTGATTATGTGTTGTTTTATTTTCATTTTTCCTCACACACTACTTAGTTGCATTATCATGACATGAGCTAAAACCCTGCTCCGTCATATTAAAGTATGAGTGAGAGACTATGCCATCGTGTGGTTTTCACCTCCGCATGGGATAGTGGATCGCTCCTAGAGCTCACGCCTTATGGTTCTCGTGATGTTATTCACCTCCGTACGAACATAAAAAGGTGTGTTCGCTCGAATTGAACTCGATCCCCTAAAGCCTGTGATGGGCCAAAATTGAGGGTTCGATAGCCCAATAGGGCACCGACAAGGACAATTCGAGAACTTATTACTTTAGAACCGAACCCAGCATATAGTAAACATAGATCCCAAACCTAGTTCGAGCCTGACCCGAACCTTAGGAATCCTGTGAGGAGGGTACACATGGAAAAGCATTTTGAGTCATTTATTTCTACTTTTCGAATAAATGTATGCGAACTAGAGATCATGCGGTTAGGTTTATTTCTCAAACCAGCATGCGAATAGATATCATGCGGTTATGATTTTTCTTTGAATAACAAAGCATGGGGTAGATATCATGTTGGGTAGGATCTACTAAAGCATGATTGGGTAGTCAGCATGTGAGGGTAGGTTTTATTTAATGATTACGATACTTATTATCTTGTTGTTTAAATTATGTGTACTAACCCATTTTGGTTTTATGTCTATTTTATTTTGGATTTATTTCATTTGCATCTTCATGTCTTCCAAAGGTGTTATTGACTAATAAGAAGACTGGTCATAATGAGACAAGAAAGTCTTAACCATGTAGTCAAAATCGGGATATCCAGAGATGTTCAAATGATCCATGAAGAATGACCTCCAATGAATGAAGAAATTTGAAGCTGATTGAAGACGTTTTTTTAAAGAAGTGAAGACCAATATATCCCCTTAAGAGATAGATACAGACATACTAAAAACGAGGAGACCCTTCACAAGGCCAGGAAATTCCCTCATGATATAGATACAGTCATACCAAGGACGAGAATACCCTTTATAAAGACATGAAGACCACTTTGCATTGAAAGTAAAAATAAAGATCTCAATACAATTTAAAGGACATCCAGCATCATCAAAGATGATAAAATACGCCGACAACTTTGGGTACAATGTTGGATTCCATGAAGAGTATGACTCAAGGAAATGAAGAAATGAAGAATCACAATTGTATTTTGACTACATGGTGTAATGAAATCTTGTTGTCTGAATGAAGGTTGTTCTATAGTGGTCACTTTTGGAATTAACACCTTTTGCATTTGTATTTGGCATCCACATTTACATTCACATTACTTTAATTTAAGCATTTTTACATGCATAAATCATGAAAAAGTGAGAGTAACTCGTGAAGGATATTGTGAAAAAAATTGAAAGCAAATTAAAGTTACCCGGGGTGTGTTTCTAAAAAGATAGAAAGCAATGAATGAGATATTAGCACGTATTGGTAGGATTGAGAGAATTCAAGAGTAACTCGTAAAGACCCAACAGGAGATGATCGATCAAGCAAAAATGTTTCAGAATGAATCAAGAGAACAAATGACCAAATTAATGGATATGGTGAATGTTGTGATCCATTGAGAGAAGCCACTAGAGGATCCCATTGTAAATGATTTGGATGGGATTATGAATGCTAGTGTTAAAACTGAAATGACAATGGCAAGTGACCGAGGACCTGTTAAGAAGCCAGATATTTCAAGCTAGCTCTAAAAATCAAATGTGGCTGTAGAGGGTTCTATTTGACCAACAATAAATGAAAAGGTAATGAGAGATAAAGTTTCCCATATGAGAGATAAGCTTTACTCAAAGAGAAGGGGCATAGAAGCGGACCGAATGCTGATCAAGAAAGCTAAGAATGATCAATCTCTCATGATTAGATGTTCTAACCCTTTGCAATCATCTAGTCAGGATAACCAAGTTATATCTTTAAAGCCATCACTAAGTAGCCTCTCGTCATGGGGAGTAGATGAGAAGCAAAATAAAGTGCAGGGGTTTTAGTTCCCTCCCTTCCACTTAAAATCCACGAACGGTGAGCACTCTTCCTTTTCTCCTTTCTTTCTCCGAAACTTTTATGTGGATTGGTGATTATGTTGATGTTTGGTAGTTGATTCCTTGGTATTTAGTGTAAATGATTAACGTCTTTTTTTATATTGATGAATTATGGCTCTTGATTAACTGCTCCCGCTTAAAATCTGTTGAAGAAATGGTTGTAACAACTTGTTTGTTTTAGATTCAAGAACAATCATTTTCTTTAATTTTTTTGTATTTTTCTGTGACCGGTGACGGCGACATCTCGAAAAAAAAGATGATCAGACTGGCGCATGTGACCCATGTGTCATCGACGCACCATCGAGTTATCCGATCGATAGGAACATCAGTGGGGAGCCAAGCCTCCTTTGGGAAGATGAAGTCTTGGCCATTGGATCCAATCTAGATCCAATGGTTGAGATTGTTTTGTGCTTCTTTCACATGGCTTGATGATGTGGCAAGCTTTTAGCCCTTGGATCTAACCCTCCATCAATGGCTCATATGGGTTGTGTTTGTTTGACAAGGATTAAAGCAATAGTGACCCTTGGATGAAGGCTTTCCAAGGGTGGAGATCAATTTACATTTCTTACTTGGATAGGTAACATTATCACCTAAAAAAGCCACACCAAATTAAATGCTTTGACTTTTCAAAGCAAAAAACTTTCCCCCCAAAATTATATCAAAAACTACATTATCACCTAAAGACTTGGTGTCATTATCCATATGGTAAGCGGATACAAAATTTTACGATTTGAGAGATAAATTTTTAAGATTTTAAAAATAAATAAATTTATAAAATTTTAAAAGAATAAAAATATTTAAAAATATAAAAATGTGATAATTTTAAAATTTTAAAGACGGTAATTTATGGAATATTTAAAAATATAAAATATATGATAATTTTAAAGACCTAATTTACAATCAAGATGAAGTTCATCTAGAATGTGCTGCAAAAAGTCATGAGTATCCGTCACTCGTATGTCATCTCAGACGTGAGAATATTGCCAAATATTCTAAACCTTTGCAATCATCCAGTCAGGACAATCAAGTTTGAAAAATTACATTAAAAAATACTCACAACCAGATTGATTATATCGAGGCATGTCCAACCACAATGGACTCCGAATGAGAAGTGGATCTAGAAGGAGATTTCTTGGATAAACCATATTGGAACTCCAAATTATTCAGCTAAGGTTCCTAGTAACCTTGAGGAAAAATTCAAGGATCCTTTAGAGCAATTCATTTAAAGGTGCAAGGTAGAAGAAAAAGGGGTTAAGGTTCAATGCTCGAAAATCGTTGTCCCGAT